GGATCCAAAAGTCACACTGAGATCTTTAAAGCGCTGCTTTCTTGTCACTTAATTAATGAAATTAGAATGCAGCATGCAGAAGCTTGCCTGAAAAATCTAGGAAAACACTCACAATGATAATTATCTCCTTTTACTCAATTTGTTAACATTAATCCTTGAACAGTGACCCCCAAAAGCCAGTGTGGTGGAGCAGTGTTTCGTGGTTTGGGGTGGGATTTTACACATTTCCCACTGTCTTCTCTGTGGCCATGAGCACTGGCCATTTTTGACTGAGTTCCAATTTACCACACTGTTTCCAAATGTAATACAATGGAAAATTCCACTGGGGCGGGGGGCGGAATACAAGTCAACCCAAAACAAGAAAATAATATTTAAAGGATAGAGTAGGGACAAGGTGAGTAATCTCATTTTTATGTAACACTTATCCCTACAGAATGAAAAAGCAAATTGTCATAGCATTGTCTGAACAACTTGGAAGAATAAAAGAGACCCATGTTAAGCAAAAGCTACCCCAGTGAGGACATTCAGAACAGGAGCTACTAATCCTAATAAGCATCTGTTCTTTTTAAGGGCTGCGTTATTTTGACTTCTGCAAGGCGAGATAGGAAAATAAAAAAGAGGCTAGCCACGCAAATATGAAATAAATAATGCAGCCCTCTTGTATTTCTTTTCTTCCTCGACCCCCACCATCACCTCAATTACAGCCATTACAAAAGAACATTTTGGTGAAGGAAGAAGATTCATTGTAAAGGAAAATCAGTATGTGGTTTGCATACAGTAGGTGCTAAGTTCATTTTCCTATGGGAGAGTTGCCTATTTCACATAGATGGCAAGGAGGCAGAAGACCCATCCAGTGTCTTTAAAAAAAATTTATTTATTTTTATTTGAAAGTCAGAGTTACACAGAGAGAGAAGGAGAGACAGAGAGAGAGAGAGAGAGAGAGAGAGAGAGAGAGGTCTTCCATCTGCTGGTTCACTCCCCAACTGGCTACAATGGCTGGAGCTGCACTGACCTGAAGCCAGGAGCCAGGAGCTTCTTCCACGTCTCCCACTCCAGTGCAAGGGCCCAAGGACTTGGGCCATCTTCTGCTGCTTTCCCAGGCCATAGCAGAGAGCTGGATCGGAAGTGGAGCAGCCAGGACACGAACCAATGCCCATATGAGATGCCAGCACTGCAGGCAGCAGCTTTACCCACCATGCCACAGTGCCAGCCCAAGTGTCTCTTTTTCTTTTTTAGTTTTTTTAATTAATTTATTTGATAGGTAGAGTTGCAGACAGTGAGAGAGAGAGAGACAGAGAGAAAGATCGTCCTTCTGATGGTTCACTCCCCAAGGTGCTGCGTCGATCCAAAGCCAGGAGCCAGGTGCTTCTTCCTGGTCTTCCATGTGGGTACAGAGACCCAAGCACTTGGGCCATCCTCCACTGCCCTCCCGGGCCACAGCAGAGAGCTGGCCTAGAAAAGGAGCAACCGGAACTAGAACCTGGCGCCCATATGGGATGCGAGTGCCGCAGGCAGAGGATTAACCAGTAAGCCATGGCGCCGGCCCCCCAAGTGTCTCTTAAAGAGTCTAATTTCACCCTCAATTTTTCTCTTGTTAATTATGAACTTAAATTCCTTCTGCTTCCTCTGAAAACTCTTGGTCATACATCAGTGGCTTCCAGTCAACACTTTGTCTCCTTAATTTCAAATTCACCAAACTTTAAACTGGTTTTTAAAACTTTTTTTTCCCATCAAATAAATGTTTTTTAACTCTTCCTCTGGCCAATTAGCATTTTTTGCTCCTAAATAGTTCTTACTAGAGTACCCTCTCTTACTTTGTGACCATCCTATTGTTATAAATTCCCAGTATTATTTTCTAGTGTGCTGTCCTTGCCACAAAGAACTCATAATGTGTTTTTAAAGTCATGCTATAGTCAATAACAATGCAAAACAGAACACATCATCAACGACTTTCTAAAGATATTGCTTACTGCATAGCTTAGCTAATCAAGGACGTTTCCTTTGGAAGAGGTGGCATTTCATTGGGTTCTTAATTAAAGAGAAGACTGGAGAAGAAAGACATTCTACACAAAATAATGGAGAAATGATAACTATGAAGGCCAGAAGCAGAAATGACATGTATGTGCTACGTTTTAGAAGACAATGAGCGGGGCCGGCACTGTGGCTCAACAGGTTAACGCCTTGGTCTGAAGCACCAGCATCCCATATGGGCACTGGTTCAGGTCCCAGCTGCTCCTCTTCCGATCCAGCTCTCTGCTACGGCCTGGGAAGGCAGTGGAGGATGGCCCAACTCCTTGGGCCCCTGCACCCGTGTGGGAGACCCAGAGGAAGCTCCTGGCTCCTGACTTTGGATCAGTGCAGCTCTGACCGTTGAGGACAATTGGGAAGTGAAACATCGGATGGAAGACCTCTCTCTCTGTCTGCATAACTCTGACTTTCAAATAAATAAATAAATCTTAAAAAAAAAAAAAAAAAGAAGAAGAAGACAATGAGCAAGCCAATTTGACTATAAACAAAGGTTTTTCTAAACTTAATTACAGATTTACTATTTCTCTTTTTAGAATGTCCAGGACTAGAAATCACTTGCCTCCAGCAGTTTAAGTAGGCTCTCTTACAGGAATATGTAAGACCTAAAGAAAATGCTCATTGTTTCTAGTCAATATTTCTATATTTCAGAATCTTTACAAGCCAGGTAAGATGTACACCTCACCCACTACAATTCTGCCCCATCCTTTGATCCCAATGATTAGAGAAACCAGTCAAGATAGAGAAAGACCACTACTCTCTCTATTATAAGCAGTGTTGCAGAATAATTCACAAAAAGAACTACTATATAGAGTGTCCTATAGTATATACAAATATAGATGACATACTTAGATCTAGGTGAGGCACAAATTAATATCTCTACTTTACTAATGGAAAAAGCCGGAATTAAGTGAGTTTCCCTTGGCCACCCTGCTGTACATAACAGAGGCAAAGTCCTTAAACCTTCAAATAACTCAAGTGCTCTGGCACCAAGTTCATCACCAGTAAAACCTGATCAGCACATCAGTGAAGTTGGGATTATTCTTTTCTTCAGATTCTTAACCCTGCAGAGCTCAGATAACCCTCCAAATCTACTGCACAGCCCAAAAGGGAAGATACTTGCATGCCATCCTTGACTGCTATGCCTTCCATACTTCCACGGCACATTCACAACATTAGTAATAAGAGGCTAGACTGCCATCATTTCTCACCACTGCAGGGTAAGGTGAGTTTCCTGACTTAGCACGAAAGGTTGTTGCTGTTGTTTATAAACACCTGAAGATGTAATACCTCTACCCAGTCACCCGTTTGATTATAATGTTGTACACATACAGAAGGCTTTATTTTCTTCTGTATTTCCTCCATTAAGTGTTCAATATGCTAGACTAGTTTACAGACGTCCTGGATAGGGAACCACTCAAGTAGCTGCCATTTAGCAAAATGACCAGCCACAGGTTTCTGAAAGTTACCCAGCATACACTGTATCTCCTCTTCTATGAGTTCTCACCTGTGGTCCCCACAGCAAGGCCAACTCTGAGCAGAAAATTAGGTGTAGGACGCACACCTGAGTCAGCTCTGCAGCCACCCACTGGGCCACATCTACAGAGCAGTGCTGAACTCAACAGTGGGGAAAGTCAAGTGTTTTCTTCCTTGACAAATTGAAATAATGAAGTTAAAAAAAAAATGGGCAAATGTCTGAAGAGATTTCTCAAAAGAAGCAATACAAAAAACTGACAAATAAATGAAAAAATGCCCAACATATGTAACTATCGGGAAAATGCAAATCAAAACCACAATGAGGTATCATCTCACTCCAGTTAGAATGGCTATTATCAAAAAGACCAAATGAAAAAAATAACAGCAAATAGAAGCATGGAATGGGGAGAAAGGGAAACCTTACACACTGTTAGCATGTAATTTGTACAACCATTATAGAGAACACTATGATGGCTCCTCATAAAATTAAAAATAAATCTACCATCTGACCCAGCTACCCCATTCTGGGTATGTTTCCAAAGGAAATAAAATCAGCATGTAAGAGATATCTGCACTCCTATATTTATCTCAACACTGTTTACAATTGCCAAGATAAAGGATCAACCTAGGTGTTCATCAACAGCTGAGTGGATAAAGAAATATATTTCACTTTGTGTTTCTATGGGGGTGCAAACTGTTGAAATCTTTACTTAATGCATACTAAACTGATCCTCTGGAAAAAAAAAAAAAAAGAAAGAAAGAAATTATCAGCTCCCAATTTGACTCTCACTGGGATTAAACATGACAATAGGTCTGATCTGATTTCATCATCATTTAAAAAAAATCATTATTATTTCTCACTTTATGTTTCTGGGTGAGAGCAAACTGTTGAAATCCATACTTAATGTATACTAAGCTGATCTTCTGTATATTAAGATAATCGAAAATGAATCTTGATGTGAATGGAAGGGGAGAGGGAGTGGGAAAGGGGAGGGTAGTGGGTGGGAGGGACGGTATGTGGGGGAAGCCATTGTTTTTTTTGTTTTGTTTTGTTTTTTGTTTTTTGTTTTTTTTGACAGGCAGAGTGGACAGTGAGAGAGAGAGACAGAGAGAAAGGTCTTCCTTTGCCGTTGGTTCACCCTCCAATGGCCGCCGCGGCCGGCGCGCTGCGGCCGGCACACCGCGCTGATCCGATGGCAGGAGCCAGGAGCCAGGTGCTTTTCCTGGTCTCCCATGGGGTGCAGGGCCCAAGCACCTGGGCCATCCTCCACTGCACTCCCTGGCCACAGCAGAGGGCCGGCCTGGAAGAGGGGCAACCGGGACAGAATCCGGTGCCCCAACCGGGACTAGAACCCGGTGTGCCGGCGCTGCTAGGCGGAGGATTAGCCTAGTGAGCCGCGGCGCCGGCCTGGGGGAAGCCATTGTAATCCATAAATCGTACTTTGGAAATTTATATTCATCAAATAAAAGTTAAAAAAAAAATAAGAAAAAAAAAAGAAAATGTGTTCTATTTACTCAATAGAATATCATTGTTATTTAAAAAATAATGAAATTCTGACATTTGCAGCTAAATGGGTGGAACTGGAGATCCTTATGTTCAGTGAAATAAGTCAAACTGAGAAAGACAAATTCTTCCTCATAAATAAATGAAAGTTAAGGAATAGTCGGTCTGAATGCAAAATAGTGGTTACTAGAGGCTGGGGACAGAGGATGGGCAACAATGGAGAAGTAGCATGTTCTCATGCTATGCAGCACAGTGGGGCGACAATGGCTCACCATCATGTGTTTTACACTGTATAAAGACCTGGGGGAGGGGAGCTGGCAGGCTCCAAACACAAAGAAAAAGGGGATGGAGCGGTTGCTTGCCTGGTTTGATCAGCTTATGCTGTGTTTATCTGTTGAAATATTCCTCTGTAACACACAGAAATTTACAAGTCTTACATGCTAACCAAAAATTTAAGTAATAAAATTTAAAAATTATAACAATTTAAGAGTGAGAAAGAGAAGGAATGAGAACTCCTAATTAAAGTTGATAAGGTTTCTTTACTTTCTTAAAGAACAATAGCATAGCAGAGCCTGATTTTCAAATGGGATCATTAATTTTCCTTAATTTTAAACTAAATCTCAAGGTGTAGTTTATTCATATTCAGAAAAGGATAAATGGAGGATCAAAAAGCGATAATGTAGACCTCACCAATGCCCAGCCCCCGAAGACCCCATTGCATTGCAGTTTTTATGTTAGCAGACCTTTTCCTTTTAGTATTCATGAAAACTTAGCAAATCATCACATTGAATTGATTCCCGGGACATATATCCTTTGCTTCCTGCCTGAATCGTGAAGCTCAAGCATGGTTACCTGGCACAGGAATGCCCTCTCACTCCGTCTTGAGTAAAAGCAACTGTACTGAACAAGTAAATGAGCGACCCAATGAGATCTCCCCTCCTGAAGTCCACGCTTGCCTTGCCATTCATCTTCCTCCCTCTCCAGGGCTCTTATTCTCCTTCAAAGCAGGCTCTGGGGCTATGGAGAAAAAAATCCAGGTGTGATGAACAGAAACCAAGAGGATATTTAAGATGCTGAAAAATGGAAAGTTAATAGAATCTACTATTCAGTCTCAGCACATCACCTTTAAGGTCAACATCTTAGGAGTTCCATCAGATACCATGCCCTGTGTTTACGCCATGTTTATTCTTGTATCATTTATGAATCCATGAAGGCTTGCTCACGGAGAAAAACAACACATTACAATGCAAGATTGAACCACAGCTATTTATTTTCACTTTATAGAGCAGACAGCTAAGAGATATCTTGTTCAAAGGAAAGCAAAAGACAATCAAATGTCATGGGTTCAAGATAAGCCAGCTGGCACCATCAGCCATACCAGGCAGACTACCAATTCATAACTCAAATGTTGGAGCATTTATCATTAGAATGTGAAACTTCCTTGAGCAAACATTTCACAGTTGCCAGTAATAGGAGCCAAAATGCTATTATAATCCACCTCGGGGGTCACAAAAAAAATTATAAGCAAAGTTCTTAGACAAACTACCATTTGTCCACAAAGGGCTTTCCAACTGGGTAGGGAGCCTCTTGCAAATGCTTGTGATATGCTGTGGTTTAAGGTACAGTAGAAGATTTAGCCTATGCCATGGCTCTGAGGCCTGGAGTTTCTTTGACTGCAATCATCCTTTTAACTTTAGGTGTAATTCCGCACAATTCCTTCTCTAAATTGGGCATACCTATGTGACTTTATATGATTCATGTTGAACCATATTAAAAGATACTGACTGGCTGTCATTTTCCAAAGCAGGAATCAGGTAAATGTTTCTAGGAGACAGTGTGTAAACCAGCAGAACTGTTACTATGGAATCCTGTGAAACAAAAGTAAATCTGGAGAAACCATAACTCTCAGAGCAAGGACACCGTAAGTAGTAAATTTTTGTAAGATTAGAAAGGCTCTCATTCTTGGCCTACTTTTGAATTTTGTCCAGTCCTATAACAATCATAAAATTAAAATTGACACTGAACTGATTAACTGCAAGATTAAGAGAGAACTGTCTTATACAGTGAAAAGTCAAACCCCAGGTGGGAAATAAGTAGACCAAAAGAAAACAGCATGTTAGATAGTTTGGAAATAAAATTCAGGAAATTCAATATTCACTGTTAATTTTCACATTAATCCATTATATTGTTTTCTTTTTTGTCTCTATCCAACTGTGCTTTTTAATAGGACAATTATTTGCTATTGAGACATATTCCAATTCTTTCTTAAAAAAAACTTCTATAGGATTATCAAGTTTGTCCATTTGAGGAAATTTTCTCCTCACTTTTCATTGCCTCAAATGCCACCCTCATTGTGCTTCTGATGATGTAGAATTGTACCATTTGCCGTTATTAATAAAAAGCATCTTAACACATACAGATGTGGATTTTTTATAGCTTTAATTCAAGTATAGACAATGAGAACTAACTATACCTGACATGAATTAAAAATTGAAAATGGCCAAGGCCATAGGATAAGCCATTTTCAGAAATACAGACGTGGGATGAACAAGCCACATATTGAATGCTCAGGTCAGTTACAAAGGAAGTACAGCACAGTCCACATCCACTGAAAAAAAAAAAGTTTAATCGCTTCCAGTGAGGCCTTCAGCTGCTCATTAGCCATGAATTCTCTTGAGAGGGACATAAGAATCTGCTTCTTTTATTATTACTCGAAAGAAGCAAAAATACAGTTTTTCATATAATGTATACTGCAGCTATTGAAAAGATTCAAAAGATTTTTTGAGTTCTATTTTAAAGACTTTCTAATGTAAGCTACTTGTGCTTTTGGTAGTCAGCAGCACATTTTTGTGTGTATGGTTGGGCTTCTTCCATCTTCGGGCACAGTCACTGGGTGAAGACACTTGGTGACTTTTCTCTGTGTCCCAAATTTATTGCCACCATATCTGTTCCTCAATCTTTTTGGATGAGATTATTTACATGCATGTAAAGGGACTTTTTGGGTCAAATCATTTTTACTTCTTCAGCTGAGAAAAGTACCAAATCCCTAATGCAAATAGCACAATGATACTAGATTGGTGAGAACGTATCCACTTCATTATTCATTGCATTCTCTAGATGAATCATATGGTTTCTATTTTGAAAAGTGTCCTGGAAAAGTCAGGTTGAATCAAAAATGCCCCTTAGTGCTTACCTGGAGAAAAGCAGAGCACAACCTCACCAGCACGACGTCCTGGAAACTAAGGGGATGACCTCAGCAAAGCCAGTGGTGTCGATAATCTCCTGCACAATTTTCAGCACACCGAGCTGTTCACCACCTCCCCCTGCTGAAGAGCTTCCTCTGGCCTACTGTGAGTATGCTGAGAATCTGACTCTAAAACACAGCCCTTCCTCCACACTCGCACACCAACCTCTCCTGTTTCCAGTCCCCACCTGGGCACATCTCCCAGATCCCTTCTTCCATCTAACTCTTCCATCCCTAAGGGAAAAAAAAAATCCACCCTTGATTTAATCTCAGTTACCACCTCTGTGTGTTTGAAAATCAAATCTTTCTTGACAACTCATCCTTCACTCAATTCCGGGACTGTATCTTTAACATTATATAACATAGATTTTCTAGGAAAAAGAATGAGGCTGTCATTGTTAACTGAACTACACACTCAAAGGATTATTCTCCCATATGTGTTATTTCCTCATGGCCCTCCAGGAAAACACTCATCACTGGAAAATTAGTCAACATGGAATCAGTGAAATATTGGTTTCCCAGGTGATCAGAACGCATCTTCTTAGCTTTCACTGCATCTATTTCTTAATCAAAATCATTAGTTTCATAGGTAGCAAGGATATTTCAGTTCTTATGAATGTTTTCCACATGGGCCTTGAGCCTGGGCATTCTGTGTCTCTCTCTGACCTCAAAATCCAGAATTCAGTCTCAAAATATGGGCTTTCTAAGGAACAGTGAGCACAGAGGTTTCCTTAAAGGGAAAGCATTCTCATTCTGACATAGTTCAAAGACAGTTCTGCAGCAAATACAGGGTATTCCACCCCCTTCCTGAAAAGGACCAAATGGCCCTCTCCTTATCACTTGGCTTTCTATCCTCAGGAGCTAGAAGCTCATCAAATAACCTACACAAGAAAGGAAAACATAGTGTATTGATGTACTAACAGAGATTCTAGGTGGATCTAAATAGATGGTTTTTTCCTCACATAGTTCTTCTACCTCTCCAATCTTAAATTAGGAGAGTTTCTCAATAGGTAAAGATGTTATAAATATTTCCCTCTAATTTACATTGAATTCAAAGTAGCCAACATCTACTGAGTAGGTGCTAGGTACCCAAAAGTAAATATACCAGAAGCTCTGCAGGTGGAGACTCCAAAGGCGGATTCCAGTTTCAGCTCCACAATTGCGTAGCTATGCCACCCCAGTCAGTAAGTCCCCTCTGTATGCCTCTTGGTAATGGGGAGAACAGCATGCCATGAGCAGGTCTTTTCTGAAGATGAAATAACCATAGGATGCAAGCAATAATATAATCTACTTCTTGAGGTCCTTGAGAGAATTAAGCAAATGGCCACTCGTGTGGGGCAGAGGGTCAGCACAGGTCAGTCCTCACCATCATTGCTGCTTCTTGGCATCATAATTAGCAGAGGTTGCAACAAGATCCAGTTCCAAGAACACTGAGAAAGCTACTCTGAGATGTGCTGTGATGCTGAGAGACAAGACGGAGGAAACTGTCTCTAAAGGTTGGTGATGAAATGAGGCCCATGCACCAGGCAGGCGGGAAAGAGAGGACAGAGGGTATCCCAGGCTGCACTGGAGCAGGAAGAGCCCCCAGCACTGCTGGAGGACAAGGGAAGCAGAAGCCCAGGCAAGGACAGATGATGTACCCCATTACCAGTCACATCAGGGAGCAGGGGCCTTTTTTTTTCCTGGAGGTAACAGGATAGAAATGAACAACATGTTCAGGTCCATTTTCACCAATGTGGGGGTCCGGAGAGCTTACAGCTGCAGGTGGAGGTATCAGTTAGGAAGCTATGTGGTAGCCACAGCAGCCATGAAGACAGCCTGGGGTCGAGGTCACGGCTAAGAAAAGGAGGACGCAGGGTCCAGAGATGCCTGTAGAAGGGAGACGCTGCATTGCGGACCTGAGTTGGAAGGCCAAGTGTCAGTGCCCAATCTTCTCTCTCTGTGATGTGGGACAAGAACGCAAGCCATTCATAGTTCCTGTGCTGTTGGAAGGAGGGCCCATGCATATGCCATGAGACTGTTAAAATGCATAAAACACAGGATGTGCACTGCAATGGTTTTACTCTGCGAGGGTCTACGTAGATTACAACGTCCGTGTCTCCAAAGCAGGTGCTCCCCTGGGATGATGTGATTTTACCGTCTCAGGAACTAGGGCTCCACACTGTTGCTGTGCTAGAGGGCTTCTTGACTTTGACAGCCATTAATTATTTTTCTGAGGGGGACTCCTTTCTTGAAAGGACTGCCTCATATCTTATTTTTTTTTCCAAAAGACAAAGAGATGTATCTTGGGTCTTCAGGACTGCCCACTCTGGCTGCTGAGGTGCCCTCTGTCTCCAGAATCACTGGACAGCCTGCAGGTGCACTGCTCCTTTACAGGAACGTATAGAACCTCTAATCAAGCCAGCCAGCAGAGGAGGGGCAGCAGGTACAGAGCAGGCTCAGGATGCTGGATGAGATCTGGGAACTCTGCCCACTTCCTACATAGCTGACAGATTACTGTCACAGAGAATAAACGTGACACAGGAAGACACCTACCCCTCAGCGCTTGTAGCCAGGGCAATGGCTGCTCAAACAGTAGAAAATGTGATCACCGGGGAAATGGTCTTTCATAGCTTGTTGCAGTCACATATCTTTTTTTTTTTTTTTTTTTTTTGACAGGCAGAGTGGACAGTGAGAGAGAGAGATAGACAGAAAGGTCTTCCTTTGCCATTGGTTCACCCTCCAATGGCCGCCGCAGCTGGCGCGCTGCGGCCAGTGCACTGCGCTGATCCGA